AAACTCCACGCAGAAAGATTCTGGTGCCCCCACCGGACGCGAACCGGCAACCTTCTTGCTGCGAGGCAACAGTGCTACCAACTGCGCCACCCTGCAGCGGATGCCCACTCTCCCCATCACTATTTGCCATATTCATTGAACCTCTAGCAGTTGCAATACGCCAGAACCACAATATCCAAGGCATCCGTGTTTCCAATTATCATCACAAGATTAGTTTATATGCCATCATGCCATCATGCCACTGAGTGTGGGGGACTGGCTGCAACCCCACATGCACCCCCTCCCTTACCCGTTGGTAACATTAAATACTTAGGCATAAACATTTCCCCCAAACTGTTAGAGTTGTTCAAATTAAATTTCACCCCACTTCTCAAAACCATTGAAGATGACCTCAATTGTTGGATGAATTAACCACTTTCTATCACTGGTAGAATAGTCACAGTCAAAATGTCAAGACTACCTAAAATCAACTATCTTTTTACAATGATCCCAATCCAGCCCACTACCAACTGGTTTCAATCACTGGACTTCACAACACGCAAATTCTATTGGAAAAATAAAAAACCTCGGATCAAACTTGCAACATTACAAAAAAGCAAAACAACAGGCGGTCTAGAGGCACCTAATTTCCATTTCTACTTTCTGGCCAACCAATTACAGTACATTTATAAATGGATTCATTACACAACACAGCCTCATTTATGGACAGAACTAGAACAAGCACAATGGAAACCCATTTCAATATCCGATCTCCCTTTTCTCAACACCAATTTAAAACTACACAACACGTTCAATAATACAGTAATCTCGACGGCTCTGACAGCTTGGTGGAAAATCAATAGGCTCTTCAAATCCACATTAACCCCCTGCAAATACACCCCTACTTGGAACAATCCAAACATTACACAAAATAATTCACCCCTAGATTTCATCACCTGGAAAAAAAAAGGAATCACATACCTACACCACATCTTCCATAATAATAAACTAGTGTCATTTGAAAATCTTATTCACACTTATGGCATTGGGACTGACCAGTATCTTCAGTATTTTCAATTAAAATCAATTCTTCAAGCCAAAATCAACATAACTAATAATAACCTACATCCTCCAATACTGATAGAAGAATTAATAGAGATTAAAAGCACGAAGAAACTATTATCCAAATTATACAGACTTTTATT